ACGAGGTCTATACCTAACAGAGTGTTAATTTTTGTTAATGTATCTTCAACTAACTTGTTACCATCAACTGATAGACCAAAGATAACGATATTATTTTTTCGTACCTTCCTTTCAAGAAATAGGCATTTTTTTTGTAAAGTGTTTATTTTTTCTTTGTTATGTGCAATTTTTTGTTTTAAAATATTATTGCTCATTAGAATGTCCTCTTTTATTTCCTTTGTTTGTTTATTCAGTAGTTCTTTTATTGCTTCTAGAGTTAGCGACCCCATTTGTATTTCATATGTAGGTACTATTTTATTTTTAAGACTCGGCAACAATGGCTGGAAGACAGCAGAATACAGCGGAATTTATCGCAATTCAATATCTTTTTTGTTTTACTGATAAGATAAATTTATTTTATTTCTGCTTTGAACTAAGGTTTTTCTTTGACTAAACAAGTGAGAAATTCAGGATCACTTACGTTGTAGTAGGAGGATGCATCTATGATTCACTTGCACTATTTTATAATTATATTAACTGCATGAATTTTGCCTCGCTCAGAAAGCAATTATACGCAAAAAATGGATCTTCTGCTATTTAATTATTTTTTCTTATAGGTAATTGCATTTACAAAAAATTTCGTATTAACTATACCTGCATTTTGCTTCGTTTCCGAGATATAGAAACACTCTAAGGGTTGAATTTTCACCCTTATCTCCATTTTCCACCCGCTAATTCAATAACATATTTATTGACCATTTGAATGATTTTTGCCATAAAAACCCATAAAAGTGATCATTCCTATCTATATTACATATTCAATAGAGTCTATAAGGAATTTGCAAATTGCATTTTTTTTATTTCAACTTTTCTTGCATTAAAACTGATGAAAATGACAACACCATTTTAATGTTTATATTTATTTAAGAATTAAATTTTTAATTGTTACGCAACTGATTTGTAGTCAATCATCAAATTTATAATATGACGTCTTAGTAACTTTTTTTTTAATTTGTGTTCCAATATTTAGTTGTCAGCCTTTTCGAATATCAAATATTTAAAATAATTGCAACAAATTCAAAAAAAAAAGATAAATTTGTTCTTTCTAGTATGTCAGAAGACACTGAAAATATTACTAATTGTTTCTTTACGATTTATGTCAAAAAGAAATATAAATTTATATTAAAACTATTTTATTTTTAATTACTTGCTTGTTCCAACCTTAGATAAAAGAGAACAGAGATATACACCGGTGTTTAACCGAACTTTGTGACAGGGAACGGATTTTGTATATTAGCATTATAATGAACTATTAGATTTATTTAAAATATACGTTTAATGGAATTTTGTATTATGAAATAAATTAAACGTGATTTTTTAATATCAAACAGATGCCACGACATTTTATGTAAAGAGAAGACCTTTTATAGAATATTTCGTTAGCGTTTATTTACTACGGACTTTTCTGCAAGAGACTACAGTAAAATGTTGAAACATAATATTGTTAATAGAGCAAGAAATGGTACTCATTGTCTACGAGTATTATAAAAAAAAGCATGTACGCAGGCGAATACTTCAAATCAAATCTTGTGAGTTGAACATTATATTTTTTCTACGGCTATTACATAATATTAAAAATTATTCAAAATGAGAAAATGCTGTTTTGTATTGTAACCTCAGCTTCTTTCTTTAGGAATATTAATTAATATAGAGGATGAGTTACATAAAACTCTAGAAATGCATATATCTGAAACCAGATAACATTTTAAAATTTAAACCTATTAAAAAGTCATTTTGTCGCTTAGGGGTGGGTGATTGTCTAATCATAAATAATCGATTAATTAAAACGCCAATCAACTGATAAAACAGTTTTTACAAAAAATAATAAAAGAATTATCGTTTATTTTGAATAATCGATTATTTTCAAATAATCCATTTTTTGTCCATTGAAACATATTATTCGATAATCTTTGAAAAATCTAAAATAATCGATTAATTAAAAAGTCAAGTAACTGATAAATTGATTTTCAAAAAAAAAACGAATTATCGATTATTTTCGATCAATCGATTATTATCAATAATTTATTTTTATTGTATTGTAATGTGAGCCATTTAATTTTTTACGGAAGCAACATCAGAAGAAACCTTTTCTTCTAAGGAAGAAATGTCTGAAGAAACTTTGCTTTCTAAGGAGGAAATGTTAGAAGAAATATCGGTTTTCATGGAAGACATATCAAAAGAAATATCAGTTTTTAAAGAACACATATCGTTTTTCATATCGGAAATTGAAGAAATTATAGAAGACGTATCATCCGAAAATAGGAACGTTTCCGGATCCAAACCTTTATTTTCTAGTGCTTTTTTAAGTCGTTGTGCCAGTTCTGATTTCTTCTATGTCGTCTCCAGTTCATGTTCTTCTAATTGTCGACGTCTCAGGCACTTTTAAGTCACACAGTTTTTTTAGCCATTATTGTCCACTATTTATTTACACTATCCCACTTCTGACACCAATGTGATGTTTGTTTATTTTTAAACAACAGTTTATTTATTAATAATTTATTTAAACTCTTATTTATTTTATAACACAACTATTCTAATTTATATATACTTCGAATGTCTTAAAACTGATCACTATTTATATTCACCACTGTCTATCTACTATTTATCTTCACTGTCCATATAATAACTAACTTTTGTTGGTCCTCCACCAATATTTATATACAAATTGGTGGTATAGAATGCTCCTCCACCAAAATTACCAGAATGTACCAGAAACATCACGTTATATTTAGACTAGAAATAGTATTTTGTTGACTCTGGAATGTTCGCGAAAGTGTCTTCACCATAGTCGTCCCATAGGTTTGGTCTTAAGGTGTTTAATTATGTATAATGAGCGGACAAGTTGAGCCTCAAAGGCCAAATAATGCAAAGAGGGACTTGGAGTATTAGAGCATGACTGAATAATGAAATGGCTCACATTACAGTATTTTCTTTAAAATCGATAATTCGATTATATTTGAAATACCGAAATTAATCGATTATTCCAAAATAATCGCTTAATCGAAAATAACCAATTTATTAAGAAGCTGATTCTATGATAATCTATTTTCCAAAAAAATAACCGAATTATCGATTGTTTTCTAATAATCCTTTTTATATTTCCTTTAAAATTGATTATTCTATTATATTTGAAAAATCGAAAATAAATCGATAAATCGAAAATAATCGATTATTAAAAAGCTGATTAACCGATAAATCAATACTATAAAATAACCGAAATATCGGTTATATAAAATAACCGATTATATTCGATCAATTGATATATATATATATATATATATATATATATATATATATATATATATATATATATATATATATATATATATATATATATATATATATATATCATATAATACCTATGAAAAATCGAAAATAATCGATTAATTAAAAAACCGATTAAACAATAAATCGATTTTTCCAAAAAAAATAGATTATTTTCAATCAATCGATTATTTTGAATAAATCTACTTTCTTTTTGTATTTCCTTTAAAATCTATTATTACATTATCGAAACGAAAATAATTTATTAAAAATAACGGATAAATCGATTTTCATAAAAAAATATCAGAATAATCGATAAATCACTCGGTCGCTTGATTTCATCTGAGCATTTAGCTCCAAAATTTAGAAATTCGGATTTTTTAATCCCGTTATCTTTGAAACCGCATTCGATTGTATAATAAATAATAAATATTGCTAGAATTTGGATTTTTTTAGTAAACGAAAATTTTGTTCGTGTTGTTTAACTCCCTTAAGTATTTTTTGCTTATACTAGATCATATTGTGCGTTTTACTTTGTTTTAAGAATTAAAATTCAAATGTCACTTTCTATTTGACCGCAAATAAGATGAACCTTGGAATTTTAAGCAGGTCATCCTGTATTTTATCTAATATTCTTATAAAAATACCTTATAAAAATAAAATTTAGTTTGCAACTATGCTTCTTTACTTCTTATTTATCTACCATAAAGGGCTAAAAACCACCTTTAGTAAATATTCTTATAAAACTACTTTTTAAAAACAAAATTTCGTTAGCAACAATGCCTATTTACTTCTTATTTAAATTAAATGTTCAAAATTTTACCCTTTTGTAAATTTATGTAAGTAATATGAAACCTGTTTTCTGAAATATGTATTTGATGCTTAATATTTATTGAAACCCCTTAATGCGGAACTGAAGTATTCAGCCCAAAGGATCATGGCGCTTTATGTCAAAAAGTTAATAAATATTTACCGCTGAAAACGAATATATTTTTTATCTTTTATAACATTGGTACTTGTATTATGAGTATATACAATTTTTCAAGATACATCGTGGCATTTTGAACTTAAAATTGAATAACAAGAACACTTTAAATTGCTAAAACACCAACAAATAAATAAAAAACAGCTGTCAATGTTGATTAAACTCTGGCGGAGGTGAGCGTTGAATGGAAAAATCGGAAAAATTCGGGTGGCGTTGTGCAAACAATGATTTTCAATTGGTGGGTTATTTGGGGTTAAAATAGACAACATGCGCAGTGTGTAATGTTACATCTTCGGTCTCTTTAATCTAAGGTTCTAACACATAGTTGTTAAGGCTCGTATACCATTATTTCCTGGGCTTCTATTTCCTGCAAACTTGGAATAGCTTCTATAACAGCAGGTTCCCACGCTTCTTCTCACCCGTCATAATCAATTCTTGGCATTTCGTTAAAATAAATACTTAATTTTTAAATATAAAATCTCTAACTGACATTTCAAAGTTTTAAAACTAACGCGACACATAAATAAATATCATATGCAAATCGTTGCCAGGTAACCTAATTTATCCGCTTTTTTATCTACTTGCTTTTTTGTCCTTCCTATTTAGACGACAGTAAAATACGAAATCAAAATTATCCTGTTCAATATTTGGTCGGTTCTAACGACAAATGATTTAATAAACGATAAACTAAGAGACAATCATTAATTTACACAAGGAAGGCACGCACGTATAAGTTCTACGCTTGCCGGGGACTATGTTTATTAGAAGTAGTACTTTAAGGTCACAATAAATGCGATCATACCAGTAATATAAAATTCAATTTTCGCAAGTTCAAGTTTAATTTTTTTTAACAGTATCAAAGTAGGAGAAGTGCAGTTGGTTATCAGTAAGACTATTATCGATTAAGTTGTTCAGTGTACGGATAAAAATGGTACTATTACCACGGATTGATAGTGTTTATGTTCCAGCCGGAGCAGGTTAGATTATTATTTTTTTTTTATTTCAATCCAAATTTTTTAATTTTTTTTTATTCACTTTATTAATAATTTAAAAATGTAATTTAATTGGTGCCTTTAATTACATTTATAAATAATACCTACCCTTTCTTTTTTTTAATTTTGAGGAACAAAATTTTAAATAATTTTTTTTAAATTTTGTAAAGAAAGAAAATATATTCACACCATTTCTTCATTACTATTTTTCTTTTTATTTTTGAGAAAGAAAAAGCATAATATTTTGAAAAACCTAAATTCGTATTCAGTTTAAATTTGAATTATTTGTAAAATCACTTGGTTCCTATTGATTTTTTATTAATTTTCCTACTAAAAAAACAAGGTACCTATATGTTTTGTAAAAAATATATTTTAAATATTTAATAAGAAATTAATTAAAAATTAAAAAAATTACCTGAATCAAATTATATATAAATAAATATTTACTTGGCATATTCGGTCATTAATTTTATTTTGTATTGTTATCACAGCACTACATATGTTTCGGAAACCTAAGTTTCCATCTTCGGGTGCAGTTATTTTAAGAACATTAAAAAATACATGGGGATGATTACAAACAGTTTAAAATTTTTAAAATACCAGAAACCCCATCTTTTTGTTTTAGCGTGTGTATTTGAACTAATATTGATTTGGTTTAACACGATAATCATAAAGTTGAGAGACAAAAAGAGATTAGTTTTTACAAAATGAAAAAAATATCAGTGGCGTAACAGTTAGGGACTAGAATGCTTACAATTATTTAATAATATTAAAATAAACGTTTGACAAATCATTTATGTCTGTTTTATTATTTACATAGTTGTTGTTATTTTTTTAAATATTGTTCTTTTGTTGAGATTAGGTTCATTTCGAGAATTCTTACATTTTCAAAATCGAAAGAGTGTAAATTTTCTAACGCATGTTTAGTTAGAGCAGTGGTATTTTCATTATTAGTAATAATAATAATAATAATAATAATAATAATAAACGGGGTGGGTGGTTCAGTGGTAGAGTCTCTGCCTGCGGATCCAAGGGTCCCAGGTTCGAATCCCACCGTTGGGCGGGATTTTTTCATTTAATTTAATTATTTAAAATTAATTATGATGCCTTGGTAGGATCCCCACTCGACCATTAACTGTTGGGTACTTATTAACAGTGCTGTTCCTAAAGTGGCGCTGGGAAACAGTGACAAAGCCTACACAGAACACGAGGATAATACCCGTAGCAGTTGATGCCGATGACACAAAAAATAATAATAACTATATTTCGTTGCCATATGTAAAAGGATTTTCTGAACAAGTGTCTAAAATGTTTTCTAAACATAATATAAAAAATTGCTCATAAACCTAACAATACAACTAAAACGTTATTCTCGAATTTTAAGCCCAAAATTAGTAAAATAAATCGACCACTTAGGTACATAGGACAAACAAAACAATATCTACATAAAAGAATAAAAAACCATAAAAATAATATCGCTACTAATAATGAAAATTCCATTGCTCTAACTAAAAATGCACTAGAAAATTTGCACTCTTTCGATGAAAATGTAAGAACTCTCGAAAATGAACCTAATCTTAACAAAAGAACAATCCTTGAGATGATACATATTAAAAAAAATAACAACTCTGTAAATAATAAAACAGACATAAAAGATTTTTCAAACGTTTATTTTAATAATATTAAATAATTGCCCTTTTTAGTCCTTAACTGTTACGCCACTGATAATTTTTTAATTTTGTAAAACCTCATCTTTTTGTTTCCCAACTTTATGGTTATTGTTTTAAAGCAAATCAATATTATTTCGAAAACACACGCTAAAAAAAAAAGATGGGGTTTCTGGTATTTTAAAAATTTTAAACTGTTTGTAATCATCCCCATGTATTTTATAATGTTCTTAAAATAACTGCACCCGAAGATGGAAACATAGGTTTCCGAAACATATGTAGTGCTGTGATAACAATATAAAATAAAATTAATGACCGAATATGCCAAGGAAATTTTTATGTATATAAAATTCTGCTATGGTCAGGAAATTATCCTTATTCAAACTGAATCAAATTAGCTGTAACTTCCAATTTAACATTTTTATTTCATAAATTATTTTCAGATTTATTTAAAGGTCCTTAATTAATAATAGAAACGTAAAAATTTTTCCTACGACCTACGACCCGAGTGAGAATATGTTACTTTCCGCAGTAGTTGTCACAAAATGTCAAACACCTAATTTCTATTTTGATCTATGTGATGTCCATATTAATACTAAAATCGATATGATTGTTAAATTATTAAAATCGTTGTAAATTAGATCCTAGATATTTACCTTTAACAATTATTATTAAAATAATTTTTAAATAATGTTTGCTCTTTATTCTGGTTAAATACATAACCGATTAGATCATTCAATTGACACAAGGGCTATTAGCTCAGGTGGTTAGGACGTCGAACTTATCAACTTTGCCATTTTTCGACCGCGTTCAAATCCTGGCGGGGCAATTTTTTTTTTTTTTTTTGTTTAGAAAATATGAAAATTGAATAAATACTATTATTGTTGATTATTTTTTTAAATACATTTTAATTATTATAGTAATATTAACCTTGGTTTTACATTTTTTTGATGACATTATTTTGTGGTCGTAGGAAAAACAATGTACATCACTTGTGTGAAAAGTGATTTTCCACACTCGTGTGATAGTCGCACTCAGTTCACGCTCAGTTCGAGTTCAATATAAACAAAGCAGAATGACACGTTAAGTATGTTTTGGATAAAAAATTATAACGGATTTATAATTATTTTATGACCAACACCATCTACAAATATAATTAAAACAAAAATAACAACAAAATATAATTTATTTTGTGGAATTTGTGGTTATATCTTGTCAACTCGAACTGAGCGCCAACTGAACGTAGTTTATAAATCCAGCTTTAATAAATAAAAATATATGCAAAATTTCAACCAAAACTATTTTCAGGAAAATCGATAAATTTATTCGCTTATAAAAGAGGTCTTGTTATATTACCTCTCGAATAAAGTAGTTTGCTAAAATATTTTAGTCCCAAGGGAGTAAAAGTGACACTTCAGTCCCTAAAATAAGGGAGTAAAAGGTATATTTTACTCCCTGGGGTAAAAAAAACAAATTTTGAAATTTTTTTATTTAATTTTTACCATTTTTAATTGTTTTGATACCTAATTATTTAAAAGTACGCATATTATATGCATATACAATATTCAAACACATTATTTATTATTATTATTATTATTATTATTATTATTATTTACAATAAAAATAGTTAACTATATTCATTTTATTTAAATCTCTAATTTATTTATAAATTGAAAATATATTTAATAATAATTAAATAATTATTTGAACTATGAATATATAGGTATGTTAATATTTGCAAAAATCCTGTTTAATAATAGTAGTTTGTGCAACAAGAGTGGATATGATGGCCACACCGCAGGAAGACGAAATTTGAGCAAATTTGGCAAAGTGCTAAATCGTCTGAGTGCAATGTGGATAATCCACTCGAATTGTAGAGTATATTTTTTCTACGACCCACTAACGAAAGTTTACAAATAAAAAAAATATTTTAGGTCATTAAGACAAAATAATTAATTTTTAAATAATGTATGACTTCTAATAATTTTTAAAATAAAATAAGCAAAGAAAAAAAAATTATTCATAAGTCAGATACTCTCACCACCCATCCAGCGGCATATTTGGGAATTTTTTTTGATACTAATTGAATTGACAAATTATTTATAATTATAGTATATATAAAAATTATTTATCGGTTCTACACAAAAATAAGTCATTTTAATGTATATATAAGTTCAATAACTAAAAATATACTGACAAATACTTTGACAGAATCGTCACTTATTTAAAATTTTAAAAATAATAGTCGTCGGGTGACCAAAATATGAACTGTGATTGGTGTATTTCATTTTTTTGCAGTATTCTCACTACATTGAATGGATATAAAATATATTCGTTCAGTTAATTAAAATAGTATACTTTTTCGTTTTGTAGTCCGTTCGTAGATAAGCTAATATCCATGTGGGTGCAGAAAAATATTTTTTCTACTACCGTGCGTAAAGTATATACTTTACGCCCTCCACGGAATAAAATGATTTATTTTTGTGTAGATTCGATAAATGCTTTTATTTTTATTTGGTTCACATTTTGAAAATAAAAACAAATTTTAATTAGGCTATATGAAACTTATTTAATTACGAGTATTAAAAACTAAATTCTAAAAAGTTGCGGTGGAGCTGAGGACAGAGTATCTGTCTTCTACGCGAATAGCCCTGGTTCGATTTCTAGGGACTATGTTTTTTTAATGTTTATTTTATTTTATAAATTAGTAAAACTTATAAATTATTTTAGAATTAGTTATTTTGTCTTAACCTAAAATAATGTTTTAAATTTGTAGATTTCCGTCAGTGGGTCGTAGAAAAAATATACTGTACAGTGTTTATCCCGAGTGGATTGTCCATCATACCTACTCTTGTTGCACAAAGTACTATTTTCTACACCCATATGGATATTAGCTTATCATCTATGCTCAGACTATTGTCAAACTAATTGTCAGTATATTTTTTAGTTATTAAGATTAAATATACAATAAAATGTGTTATTTTTGTGTAGATTCGAAAAATGGTAGCATTTTTATTTTTATTTTGAAAAAAAAATTGAAATTTAATCAAACTACACTAGTGGAAAAAATTAAGGGATCAAAAAAAGAATCTCGATTTTTGGTGATTTTTCTAGTGGCTGTATCTTTGGTAAAAATGGTCGTACGTGAGTTTGAAGCTTAAAGTGTCTAGTTTATGGATCTTGCGATAAAAATATTTTCCAACCACCAATTAGCCCAAAATCCTGATGAATATCATGTTCTCATTTTTGAATTTTTTTTTTTTTAATTTTTAATGTACGGACTTAAAAAAAATTTTCTCGACATAACCACTATATACA